CCATGGCATCCCCTGCAAGGCTGTCAGAGCGACGGACGGATAAAAAGACCCACAACATTTTTCTTTCTCTCTCTCTCGCTCCCTCCCGGTGTCTTTCTTTTCTTGCTGTCAGGAGGGCTCCCACTGATCAGTGGGGATGAGCTGAAAGTTGAACTACCTGTTGACAGGACTTCTTAAACAGCCCTCAATGACATATTGTGCAAGAGAGAGAGGGAAAGGCAGAGAATCCTGTTCATTCATATTTGTCACAGATCTATTGAGCCTGTGCTCTCATCAAACCCTTGTTCCCTTGCTGTTATTTTCTCTGCATTTAAGTAGCGCTGGGGTTATGTTAATACTATTATTCCTGCAATTAATTGTTGAATCTTCAGTGTGGAAAAAGCCTCTTTTTGTTTTCCCAGCATCGTGTATTAAAAGGTATTACATTTACCAGCTGCAAGTCAGACCAAAGGAATGCAGTTGGTGCATGATTGGTGTTTTTGGCCAGCCAATCAGAGCTCTGGTTTGTTCAGGCCACTGGAAACACTGCCCTAAAATCCTGCGTCTTTTGGAAGAAAGGGCCTACACTTTATTGTTTTAGTCGTATGCTTTTCAATGTTCACCTACGATGTTTTCTCGTATTTGTCAGAAAAGACACACACAAAAAAAATACCACGTTTAAAACTTAGATGAGATCTGTGTTTAGCCATGCAACTTTTCATTTTAAAAGACTACAATCCAGTTTTGAAGCCTCACGTCTTCTTGATAGTGCAGAGTTATGAGTTTTGATCAAGAGGCTCTAGGCATGGGATGGAGTTAGGATTGAATCTGGCAGGTGTTGTGTGACTGTTTTCCATGTGCAGTTCAGTGCAGAGTGTTTTCGCCTCATTACAGAAAGTAATAATGCAGTGAAGTCAAAGTGCGATAGAGAGGAAGGAAAACAAGGCAGCTTTTTTATTGGATTAATTAGACGTCTTGCAAAGACCACCTGCAATAGAAGAAGGAAAAAAAAAAAAAAAACACTCAAGCTGGGGAGAAACTCATATCTGGTGTGTTCTACCTACCAAAGCACTAACTCTGACTAAACCATGTTTTGCCAAGAGGTAAATGATCTTTGAAATGATGAGGAAGCTCTGTTTGTGCTTTGAAAACAAACTTACAGCTTTTCAATGAATTTAAATGTCCCTGCTGCTTGTCTAATCACTAAATATTTAGCATTCAAATCTCAGTACATGGAACATATGGTAAATGCCCACATTGTCCCTTCAACATCAGAATGCTGTTGCTGCAACCCCCTTGTCTCATTAATGATTTGGTGCAAATATGATTGAATTCAGCACATTGTGAATAATGATTGATTTGTTTAATGCAATGAATTTGTTCATTAGGACTTAATGAGGCATTGCATTGTGATTAGTCGATGGGTTTGTGTCGATACATGCCAAAATAACAAAGTAAAGTCCAACTAATGGCTTTTCGATCCTTTAGTCCCCCCCCCCAATCTTGTCTTAAATGTCAGGGAAAACTTTTATGACAAAACTCAAGCCTGACATGGAATTGAAAAAGTACACTGTGAATTATATTTGAGACTGTTTATTTTAATATGAATTTATAATAGGTAGCAATTCCTAATATTGAAACTGCCTTTCATGTACAGTAATTTATATGGTTACAATTAGAGAGGAGCACATTTAAATCCCAAATGCATTTATGATGCATGCTACTATTGATAAGACAGAAATGAACTGAGCACATTCAAATGGTGACTGAAATATACTTCCATTGTGTTACAGATACCACTTATAATTAAGCTGAGGATTGAAGAGAAACCAAGTGAAATCAGTTTCTGTGCGTGTATGAATGTGCAGAGGATTTGGTGTGTTTACGGGTGCACGTGGTGCTTTGCTGAATATTAAACCACAAACTATAAAGACAACAACTGAACCGTCGTGAGAAAATGCTAAAGGAAGTCTTTGTGGTTTTAGAGGTATAACAGGAGCCAATAGTTTTAATGAGGCAGCATTGCTGCACTTGCCAGGAAATGATAAGGTTATACAGGTTAGAATAACGGCAGACAGATACTGTACCAGTATAAAGGTACAGCACACATCTGTTCTTCATAACGGAGTCTACACAGGGTACACAGCAATGGCAGAGACATTATTAGCGACAAAGTGGCCCAAAGTCTTTCCTTAAAATGACTGGTAAGAATGACAAACCTGAGCCTTGATACATATTGCTTTTTTGTATGTTAATGCTGCATGTAACATTGTGCTTCTGTATGTGAGAGACTTGTAAGAATAGCAGGATATGTTCAAAATAGGAAGAGTTGTTCATGTGATTTCTGTGGGCAGCCATTTGATAACGCTGGGTGAGTTGCAGCATACTCACCGTGTCTTTCAGAGGGCATTCGCATATTGAACTGTTGTCTGTAGTCAAAGGGTTGTGTTTGAGTGTGCGTCTTTGCTGTGTGTCTATGTGTGCCTAGTTGTACACCACCCTCAAATTCCCTTGCATGTGTGTGTTGATGTGAGCAGAGGGGAGATGTCACATAAGAAATGTCCTTTTTAATCAGGGGAAAAAATATAAAATGACTCGGGAGCAAGGCAAGCATATTAATGTGCCTCATTTGCATACGCTCGTCAGCCAGGATACGTTTATAAAAAACACAAACTGGATTCGTCAGTTCATTTCACATTATTCCATTGTCTATCTGCCTTTGTTATATGTTAAAGATAAAGGCAGAAATCAAATTGAAGAAAAGGGCAAGCTGCTATCTCCCCAAATGAGCAACAGCTCATCAGCCTAGTTTAAATCACAGATTTCTATTCCAAAAGGCAGCCGCTTCTGTAAAAAGGGCCCATTCAAATAAGGTCTCCTCCAATACTGGCTGGTGATGGAAGCTGGGGTGTCACATAAATACAATTTAAAACTGAAGTCATTTAAAACAGTCGACCAAAGTTTAATATATATATATATGTGTGTGTGTGTGTGTGTGTGTGTGTGTGTGTATATGTATATATATTTATATATACTTGTGTGTGTGTGTGTGTGTATATATATATATATATATGTATAGATTTAATTCTTAGATAAGGAGTACAGCATTATTGTCATTATTCTAGTCACATGAGAACACAATCATACGATCTGTTGTAAATTTAAGTAGGCTTTGACTGAAACATATCTAACTGTTACACATAAGTCTGCGGAACATAGCATACCCATTATATTCTTGATGAATTCAGTAGACTTGCTTTATGATACTTGTGGGGAGAAATAAGGAGAATTCAAAGGGCAGCCCACAAGTGTCACATTCCTTTACACACAAGTAGAAACTGGTCACAGTGTCTAATTCATGTCCACAAGATAAGAATCCACCGTCAACAGTGTGTTGGAGGGGCCAGTGGCTACAAGAACAGGCGCCCCTTATGTCTGCTAACCTCCTACTGAGGGGAGAGAGAGGGTGAACGAGAGAAAATTTTCAAATGAACAAGACAACAAATGAGCCAAGCACAATGTAGAGAGCGCTATGCTTCAGAAACTTACAGTAGGTGGAGAGAGAGAAAAAGAAAGACAGAGTGTGGTGGAATCTTAGACGCCCTTCAGATCTATAAGTCTAAAAGTATATACTGAACACGTGTGCACATATTTGCTGTCTGTGAGCCCTGTTGCTGCCAGACTGGGTCTCTACGCTTTCTAAAATGACACCACTTCTTTTCCTAAAAGTGCACTCACCTAATGCCAGTTCTTTACACTGCCTCTCCATGAAAGGATTTTTTGATGATTATAATCATACATTATAGCCCAGTGGCTGCCACTGTTACCAGGCAGCATACTAATCAGCTTAATGAGATATTATACAATATTTTGTTGACCAAAGCAGAACCACGGTTATTGTTTCTGAGGGTTTGATCCCTGCAAGCAGCCAGGAAGTGTGCAGATAGATGTTTATACCTCTCCATCTGGAGAGCAGATGGATCTGCATAAAACCAATGTTATTCTTTTTTTAAATTATTTATTCACTGATGTTACACATATGGAATGAAAACCCTTTCAATGATAGTACAACATGGTCTGAAAATCATGATATACTGTATTTCAGTAGCATTGCAGCAATCCAGGACCACAACATGATTCTATGGCAAGCAGTGGGTAGAACTAATGGAACAAAGTAACTGCTACCTTGTTGAGTTTGTGCTTTTCTACATTTACTTTTTTATTAATGTATTACCTAGTGCATTGCAAACCATTTCAACAATTGTTGTTTCAACTGTTGTTTTGTACATCCTGGAAACTGTGAAAGAGATAGGTAGAGAGAAGGCAGACAGAGAGAGAGCTGGGGAAATGCAAAGACGCAGAGGGAGAGCAAAGTGATTCACATCAAATGTAATACGGCTCTTTAATGGAATATTGCGCCAAGACAAGTGTCGTGGCACCAAGATAAGAATGTTGTGTTTCCTGGAGTAACCCCTTGGTTTTAAGTGCTATTGTTAATATCATAATTGTAGTATTGCGGTGGCTTTCTGACAATGCAGTTGCTCCATTTCATTAAGGCGTGTAATTGGAGGAATTCTGATAGGATGGGCACAAGTAGCTTAATTATACACTGCTCACTGTGTTTACACAGTAATTATTACATCCAAAATGGTTTTACATTTTGAAAAAGTTCTAAGGAGTCACAGCATCCCTTCAGGCCCTTGGTGCTGACAATTCATGCAGTGCTCTGCGCATCAAAGACAATAAATTTTATTTGCCTGTACCGGGCGATGCTCCACAGGTGTTATTTCCTTAAATTAAGTAACACATTAGTCCTGAACATGTGGTTGGATAATCAGTGCCCACTCTGGCATTGTACCTTTGAAATGCAATGTTTCTGTGTGTGTGTGTGTGTGTGTGTGGGTGTGTGTGTGTGTGTTTTTAATTGGTCTTGAAACATTCATTTTTTTCAAAACATGTTTAATCCAACAATTGAATTGTTTCTAATATTGTTTGTTCTTTCTGTCCGATTTGTTCGACAGGATGGAGGACTCTAGTTTATGTCTTGGTGTGTCGTCAGTGGTACCTGACGCCGATGCCCATCTGAGCAGTGCAGTGTTAAATGGCCGTTATCCGATCAGTCAGAAGCTTCACCAGCTCACTGCCCAGCTAGGACACGCCTTTCCGGACCTGCACCGCCCACAACAGATTCCAGAAGAAAAAGCAGCAACACCTTTGGATGAGAAGACACACCACGCAGCCCTGGCCAGTCAACCTATCAGCAGTCAGATGGCCCTGCTAGCCAATCAACTCAACCGAGACATTGATGCAGGGGCACTAAGTGGGCTGAACGGACGAGTTGACCTGCAGCAGTTTCTTAATGGGCAGAACTTGGGCATCATGTCCCAGATGAATGATATTGAAGATGATGCACGCAAGAATAGGAAGTATCCCTGTCCATTGTGTGGCAAGCGCTTCCGTTTTAACAGCATCCTATCACTGCACATGCGCACACACACAGGAGAGAAGCCATTCAAGTGTCCCTACTGTGACCACAGAGCGGCTCAAAAGGGCAACTTGAAGATCCATCTCCGCACCCACAAACTGGGGAATCTTGGTAAAGGCCGTGGCCGTGTCCGAGAGGAGAACAGGCTGCTGCATGAGCTTGAGGAGAGGGCCATCCTGAGGGATAAGCAAATGAGAGGGAGTGGTAGTCTCCTCCAGACAGCTCAAACACCCCACCTGGGCATCAATAGCAGCTCTAACACCCATCAGCAGCAATTGAGTTCAGCTTGTGGCCCCCCTCCACCCTCTGGTCTTGCCACTCCAGACCCAGTTTCCCAACCTTCTTCTTCACCCAAGCCGGCTGGCACCCAAGATGAACAGTCCCTGAACCCAACCACAGGCTTCCGTTGTACCTTCTGCAAAGGGAAGTTCAAGAAGCGTGAGGAGCTGGACCGCCACATCCGCATACTCCACAAGCCCTACAAATGTACTCTGTGTGAGTTTGCTGCCTCTCATGAAGAGGAACTGATAAGTCATGTGGAAAAGGCTCACATCACAGCCGAGACCACACAGGGCCAGGGTGGTGGTGGATCTGGTGGCACACAGATGGCCACTGAATTTCGCTGTGATGTGTGTGGCCAGGTGTTCAGTCAAGCTTGGTTCCTCAAGGGTCACATGCGAAAACATAAGGACTCCTTTGAACACTGCTGCCAAATCTGCGGCCGTCGCTTCAAGGAACCCTGGTTTCTCAAGAATCATATGAAGGTGCATCTGAACAAGCTGGCCATCAAGAGCAAGCCACCCCAGCCCAGTGAGCAGGACATGGCTGCCGTCAATAGCATGAGCAATCTGGCTCAGGAAGCTCATGCCAACCTTTATTCCCGCTACATCTCCTGTCTGCAGGGAGGCTTCCTTTCACCAGACAAACAGGGCCTAAGTGAGCAGCACCAGATGTTGGCTAAAGCAGGGATAGCCATGAAGGAAAAGGAGATGCTAGGGAAGCTGCTCGGACCGATGGCAGGAGGTATGGGCCATGGGCTGGGTGAAAACGAGAAGCGCTCAATCCTTGGTTGTCTCAGCCTTGTGCCCCCACTCAAGTCGAGCTGCATGGAGCGCCTCCAGGCAGCTGCAAAAGTGGCAGAGATGGACTCCCTCAATAGCTACCAAGCCTGGCAGATAATGGCTCGTGGCATGGCTATGGACAGGGCTTTCATGCCGAAGGATCAGCAGCAGCACCAGCACCATATACCCCCAGGGCAAGAAGATGAGATTGGTGGTGCGGGGTCTTTGGCATCCTTCTCAAAGGATAAACAAGACTACTCCTTGATTGCTTCCAGTGATTGCTCCAAGCAGAAGCAGCTCTCTGAGGCCTTGCAGGGATCGAAGCCCTCTAGTGGACCCATGATGTCCATGAAGGAGGACGGAAGAGGCTTTGACAGTAATCGTGACCTAATGTCTCACCATGGTAGTGCTGAGGCTCCTGGAGCCTTGGCTGGCTTAGGAAGCCCAAACATTGATTATGGCCTTTCCAGTCTGTCCAGCCTGAAGGACAAGCCTTCAGAGTGCCCTGACTGTGGCCGAGTCTTCAGAACCTACCATCAAATGGTAGTCCACTCCCGAATCCATGGTAAAGACAGGAGAGGCATTGAGGAAGCACTTCAGCAAGGTCTTGATGAACGTCGTGGATCAGCCAGTGACCCTGAGTCCCAGTCCATCAGCCGCTCCACCACTCCTGGTTCATCCAACGTGACAGAAGAGAGCGGTGCTGGCGGAGGGCAGTCCCAGACAGGAAGCATCCAGGACGACAGCCCACATCCCTCTTCACCATCTTCAGGTAAGAAAGCAAATTAGAGAATTCTAACTTTAGTTTATGCCATTTATTAAAGAACGATGTTCACTTACTTTTTTCAGTGTTCCCAACTTACTACCTTGTAATTTTGGCTACATAGTTTCCTCTAAGACTCACATTATTTGTATGGTTGTGTATACATCAATGTATGCAATCCTTCTCTTCAAAAGGGAATGAAGGGAATGAAAAAACAAAACAAAAAACACACAAGTTTGTCACACAGTAACACAAACTAACTAACTGATACAGGCAACGATTGGTCTTCAAGGTAAAATTTAGGTTTTGTCAAAGAAGTCTGATGGCTTTCAAGAGAGTGATATAGCATCTTTAGTTCTATGCTGGACAGGGCAGTCTGATAGCAAGGTCAAGTGATGAAAGTCTCCTAAATATACTTGCACTGATTGTTTTAGGCAGGTCTTCTTTTGGTGGGTAAAATACCTTTCACACCAGACCCCTTCCACAGCAATACATTGCTTGACTTCTGTGTTAGTCCCTCTGTCTGTTTCTCTAAACTGGGGGTGTGCCGATCACCGTCTACAGTAGGCAATACACTGATTATGGACAGAAGTACTTCAGCCAGAATGAAGCCTTTCAGCCACAGAATACTCCAGAGAACACAATTCAGAAGGAGACCTGCTTCACCATTGCATCCTCATTTGCAGTTTAGCGGTATAGATCCCTGTGGAACATGAGTAAAGACTGGGAGCATAGGGACGAACTCATTTTAACCACAGTGATTAATAAATGTCTTTAATAAACACGTCGGAGACAAGCAAACCCCTCCCTTCTCCGTACCCAGCAAACACAGGCCGGCCCGGGCTAGATAAGTGTATGTTTAGTGGGATTAAGGGAGACTCATTGCTAATGATTACACAAGTTTTTAAAGGTAACTTTTGGATGCTCCTCAGGGCACTATACTAGCGTTAAGAAGCGTGTGCAGTAATTAGGTCACGAATATGCGATAATCAGTCGGTTTAAGCTAACAAGACACTAATTAAAGATATACATATAAAGCAGGTCAAAAAAATTAGTGAACTTCATTTGCAAAGCGAGGATGTGCTTTTAAGTCTTTTGAGAAAAAAAAATATAAATATATATAAATATAAATCAGAGTGGCTTAGCTTAAGGCTGTAAGCAACTTAATTCCACCAGTGGAGACGAAATTGTTTATTTATTCACAGAGGCATGAAGTCCTTATCATGCCCGTGTAGTGTGATGGGTTTGAACATGGGACAGGCTATGTTTATTTTAATCTAAGAAATAATAACAGACAACCCCCCACCCCAATTAGGAATTAATGAAAATGAGAGTGAGATAAAAACCTATTTTCTTTATAGAGACTATTAAACATAACACTTTCTCAACAGGGTGGGGGTGTAGCGGATGTAATTATCTTCTGAATTTTAATGCTGGAAGTTTCTCCCTTCATATCGCTCTCTCTCCCTCTCTCTCTGTCTCTGTCTCTTTTGACTCAAGCACTTTGAATCTGATGGGTAAAGCTTGTGGCATTTCAAGAACTTAAGAGGTACTGTATACCAAATAAACAAATAAACACATTAAATTATTAAGTGAGAAATAAAACTGATAGTATTTACTACCAAATGGTAACAAAGAACAATGGCTTGCTTTAGATTTACTTGAGTGGTTAAATCTCGCCCCCGGGGCACCACCTTTGGAGAAGGAGGGTAGGATTAAAGACAGAAATATAAGTAGAAAAATAAATTAAAATAGCGCATCTGCAACCTTGCTGGTTTCCGCAAGGCCTTTAATGCTGCTGTTTCTGTGTACGTGTGGTTTTTGCATAGGTTGTGTTTCTCACCCTTTGCCCAGTGCTCAGTCAGATACATTGGCAGTATGCAAGCTTTTTGTCACACTGCCACTGTCATATCTGAAAGGCTGTCCTTACATTGTTGTTGCAGAGCTTTGTGAGTGTATGTGCCAAAATAGGATCTCAAACAATAGCTTACTGCTACAGTGCATGGCAAAGGAAGAAATTAAATGTGCAAAGAAGAATAGCATAAAATGATTAAGGATGCCCCGATATGAATAGATTGGAATGCAGTTTTATTGAAACTAAATTTCAAAAGTAAACATATTTGACATTGAAATGTTAACAATGCTTGTTTTGCCACTTCCTGTTTTTTAATCAGGAGTAGCAAAACTTGACTTGTCGTTCTTCACAACTTACACAATGTGAATCACATTTGGAGCTCAGGGACTCTCAAATTAGAAGCTTTGATGTGTGAGAAAAATGTGTCTGAGTCTCATGTGGAGAAAGGTGTCATGCTTCTCCTCTGCATGAATGTTTGTTGTGTGTGTGTGTGTGTGTGTGCGTGCATGCTGCCGTGTGTGCACGCATGTGTGTGTGTGTGTGGTGGGGGTGCTTTGTAGTATGTGTGCATATCACTCTCTTCTGTAGTGAGCAGGACGTGGCTACTGCACCATTGTATTTATCTTAATATCTCAGGTTTTAAAAGGAGAGCTTGTAATTCTCTCTAAGTCAGTGTACCTGCAAGTGTGTTCTTGTGTGTGTGTGAGCCTTTGGCCCGCCACAGCAATTTTGAGTTAAACTTAAATTATAGTAATCAACAATAACATCTCAACTGTGAAAGAAGGTCAGCTCTGGCACTTTTGTCTTTGAGACGGCACTTGTTTAAAAGCAATGAGTGAAAAAAGGGAGAAGTGAGGAAGAAAAAGAGCAGAAAAACAAAGGCCTTTGTCAGATATGTCCTTTAAAGACCTTCCTTTAAAAACATAGCTCTGCAGCTAACCTTGAGCATGTTTTTTATTCAAAATTTTTTTAAAGAAAACAAAGAGGTAATTACATATATGCCCATCACTATCTCTTTTTTGTGTGGTTACCCTTGGATTGACTTCGCATCATTGTTTCCTGTGATGATCAGGCCTCAGAGAAGCTGTGTTGGGAGAAAACACAGCAGTCATGTTAGAAAGGCTCAGCAACAGGTAGGCCTGACGTCAATGAAAGTTATCGTCTTCCAACATGGCCTGATGCTACGGAAAGCATTACCTCTTTTTTTCCTGTTACATGCAAATAAACCACCATAGAAAATTCGCATTTAGCACAATAGCGTCATCCTATTTTGCTGCCACATTATAGGCAAAATGTAGCTGAATCTGTAAAAAATTGGCTTTACTGCGTGCATGTAAAGCCTAAAGCGGCAGAAGTCCTCCTTGAATGTATCTCCACAACCTTCCCTCTACCCCTAAACCCCACTCCCACCTCTTTGCTCCTGGCTGTAAAAGACTATACACTCCCTCTGGCTCTTTCTCTTTCTCTCTCTCCAGAGAATCCCCCATGTCTACATTTTTTTTTTTTTTTTTTTTTTTTTTTTTTGCGTTTTAACATGGCAGGGATTAGCCTGCATATCCCTGGTCTTACCACGGCTCAAACAAGCAGGCAAAATGCTTGCTCCATACAAATTGAAATTGGATTTGCCAACTTGACGCCTTAGGTTATAAAGCGTGGATATTCATCTAATTGCGACAGTACAATGGGGGCGTAATTACACATGCAGACAAACTGTTACAGTGTAATTACTGTGTCATTAAAACAGGAATAAAGTAGAGTTGAACAAGATCCAGACTAGTATGAATATAAATGGTGACAAACCTGTTCTAGCTAGCTATTACCAGCTAATATTAGTCAAGGCATTGCAGGAATCTGCAATATAAAAGAGGAATACCTAGTAAGGATCTTTACTAATATTATTTTACTCTCCGTGACTCATATCCAGAATATTCAATGGAAATTGAAAAACAAATTACAAGCATTAAAGCATCTTAGGCAGCACATCTTTGCGGATGTTAGCACTGCTGCCTTACAGGAAGGGGTCCTACAGTTTGTTCAGAGTTAAAAGACACCCGTGGCAAATTAACTGGCAACTCTAAATTGCCCATAGGTGTCTGTCTCTATGTGTCAGCCGTGACTGGTGCCCTGTCTATAGTGTAACCCATCTTTCACCCACTGTCAGCTGAGATCGACCAAACCCCACTGCTAACCATGTAGAGGATAAGAGAATATATCTCAGGATGAAATGGATGCAAAGAGAAGTACTGTAACTACAGAAACATTCTAATGGAGTGTAATATTTGCATACATCCGGCAGACTATACATGTTCCAGAGACGGGCCAGTGTTCCTTTGCTATTTGGCCAGTTTTTTCAAAGTATAATTTAGGCAGTGGTATTCTATTCAAACACAAATTTGTTGAGGAGAATGTGGTAAAGTCAAAACCAAAACAGTAAGGTTTTAGATATTGTTTCAGTTGTGCAACTCCCCTAATAAATAAGTAATTGATTATGTTGCTGCCGTGATTCTAAAGCTTGATTTATACTTCTGCGTTGAATCTACACCATTGGTACAGCATAGCCGGATGTGGTAATTTGTTGTGTTTGCATGACATATTGATTTGCAAAAAAAGAAAAAAAAACACGCTTCAGTAAAAGACAATGCAATATGTAATAGGTTGTAATTGTATCTGGCTTGCTTGTAGTACACTGACAAGCATTGTACCAATCTATCTATGTACCGTTTTCTGGTTTTCATAACTCTACAAATCCATTTATAGACTCACTTGGTTCTTAAGTCTTGTCTCTTTCAGTAAATGCAACTATTGTCCAAATTGTATTAGCCCCAATTCCAACATGACGGAACTCAACACAGTGACCTAGACACTCCACCGTTAGCTACCGTTTTGGTGGTATACCTGCAGAGTAACAAAAACGCACAGGCAAATGTATAAACGCTCACAACTGTGTAGGTCACTTGTGTAGGCTGCAGCACTGTCTGTGCAGATTCAGCGCAGTGGTATAAATCAATCTTTAGGCCGATAGTGCCACTGATAGTCTTGGGCCTCCAGTCAGTTGCTTGCCAAATTGCATACACATAACAATCTAGATTAAAAATATTTTAATTTGGCAAAATATCCTTTAGCCAGGCCCGCACTGAATACACTGAGCCTCAGC